TGGCCTGCTGGCTGATGGTGGAGCCTGGCTGTGGCCTGCTGGCTGATGGTGGAGCCTGGCTGGGTCTGCTGGCTGATGGTGGAGCCTGGCTGGGGCCTGCTGGCTGATGGTGGAGCCTGGTTGTGGTTGTTGGCATGAAGCTCTCCACCCTGGAGGAGGTGATCTGTAGAATAAAAGAAAATAAAAGTATATTCTTATATAACTGCAAACCTGCAGTTTCCTGTCAAGACTTTTAGGCCCAGATTATATTCAAAGGTGAGCCTTTCATATAATGCAATGTAATCTGCCTATAAACATTTAAGATTATAAAAAGCATTCAAAAGCATTTAAGAATATAGATTCAACTCAACAGTTTAAGGTGGTTATAGCTGCACCTGTAATAAAGGCTAATTGGGTACCAATATGTTTAAACATCTGAATACAATATCAATACTGTAAACTGCATTATTAATGCAATGGTAATCTGGACAATAGCAGTAAAATAATTTCTCTAATCCCTACAATATGCATGCTTGATGTTGGAGTAAATGTGATCTAGAGTGTTCTCTCCCCTGGTGGGACATTTTACATGCTGATAGAACTTTGGGAGTACAGTCTTTATGTCGGCCTTATTAAAGTTACCTGCAAATATGTAAACACCTTCAGGGTGGACCTGCTGCTGTTTGTTAATGGTGTTCAGCAGGATAGACAGCGTTGTGTTTACACGTCGTGTCGGATGGCATGTACACAGCGGTGATGATCACTACTGTTAGCTATCTTGGTAGAAAAAAAGGCCGGCATTTTACTGACATGTACTCGAGGTTCGGGGAGCAGTGACTGTTTATAATTGTCCCGTTGTTGCACCAGGCCTCATGCACCTAAATACAGAGTCCCCTCCCTCTGCTCAAGCCCCCCTTTACTCAAGTAAAAGTGAAAAGTATGGTTCAATGGTCCTTTTAGAAGTATACTTTTTTCAAAAACTTACTCAAGTAAATGGAACAGAGTAAATGTACTGTAGCTCGTTACTACCCAACTCTGGTCTTCTTACTGTTGCCTCACAGCAGGAAGGTCCTGGATTTGAATCCACTGGCCACCTGAGGCCCCACTGTCTGGAGTTTGCATGCTCTCCTCACGTTTTTGTAGGTTCTCTCCGGGTAACTCTTGCTTCCACCCCAAATATATGTATAGAATCAAATTAACTGGTCATTGTTAACTGGTCATAGTTGAGAGTGAGAATGTGTGCACGTATGATTGTCTGTTTCTGAATTAGCGCTGCAATAGACTGGTGATCTTGTCGGATCGTATGATAACATGATAACTGTTATCCAGCTAATGATGAGGAAATCCCGTTTTGTTAGAGTCTATTAAAATCAAATTTGCTTCAAAAGATCCTCTGGAAAAGAGCACAGTACTTTAAACGGAGTTTATTAAACACAGTCATATGAACAGCAGAACAGTACATCACAACACATAGCAAAGCAGCAAAGCAAACCCATGGGGTGTAGAGCCTTTAAGCACAAACAGCAGAGACATACAAGGTAACTGATGGAAAAAGCTTACCTGACTTTTTTTTATAGGAGTCCACAAACCATCATCCTGCTGCTGGGTAACTTTCCATTCCTTGTCTTTTTACTTATTTAGTTTTAAATTAAAACGATAGGTATTTTCCCAATTTTACAAACATCGATACTTTAACATATTAACTCCAGTTAATATGTTGATTTTACACATTTTTGTTCTCTTTTTGATCTTCAGCACAGTCTTATATAACTTCCTGGCACCCTTCCCAGACCTTTTCATCCATCATTTTAATCAGTCCTTTTATGGCCAAAGTGAGTGAGAAATTCAGAAACAACAGGTGCAAGGACGGCTTCGCAGTAGAAACGATTAATCTGCCTGACAGTTTTGTCAGTTTTGCTGCCAAAAGCAAGCTATAAATTTTATTAATGACAGGTTTTTGACCACTTTGGACAGTGTAGGCTGTCAGAGGTGCATCTTCAGCAGGGCCAACTTCGATTAACCCTTTGTCTTGGCATGTCACCACAGGTCATAACACAATCACAAGTTACAAATTAATCTTAATTAGGCTGTTGAATGCTTAACATGGTGTCAATAGAAAATTGTACTTAGTAGTCAGTATAATCTTTTAATAATATAAGTTTGCATATGATAGAATACTGCATGATGACCTCTTTATGACTCAGACTGTTGTTTTAATTCACTGTGACCCGTTATCATGCAGGGAAGGAGCAGTACCTGCTAGATAAGATCTTAACAAGCAGTTTCACTTTGTACCAGGTAGAGGAGCCTCTCCTGGCACACACACGCACACACACGCACACACATATACACATCCACATTCCAATGTAATAAACGAACGCACCTACTGTTGTATATAGACAGACACTATCTCTACTTTCAAGATTAGGCTTAAAACTTTCCTTTTTGCTAAAGCATATAGTTAGGGCTGGACCAGGTGACCCTGAATCCTCCCTTAGTTATGCTGCAATAGACGTAGGCTGCCGGGGATTCCCATGATGCATTGAGTTTTTCCTTTCCAGTCACCTTTCTCGCTCACTATGTATTAACAGACCTCTCTGCATTGAATCATATCTGTTATTAACCTCTGTCTCTCTTCCACAGCATGTCTTTTATCCTGTCTTCCTTCTCTCACCCCAACCGGTCGCAGCAGATGGCCCCGCCCCTCCCTGAGCCTGGTTCTGCCGGAGGTTTCTTCCTGTTAAAAGGGAGTTTTTCCTTCCCACTGTTGCCAAAGTGCTTGCTCATAGGGGGTCATATGATTGTTGGGTTTTTCTCTGTATCTATGAAGCGCCTTGAGGCGACTTATGTTGTGATTTGGCGCTATATAAATAAAATTGAATTGAATTGAATTGAATATAAATAAAGACCAGGGCAGTGGCAGAGTGCGAGTCCCGGAGCCCTCACTCTCGTGCTGCAAGTAAAACTGTGTGTCTCCACTCTCTGACTCTCAGCTGAAGAAGTGTATTTAGAATACATCTCTTGACACATGGTGAGTCCAATATATAAAAACGCTAGTGTAGGTATATAGTGTATGTCAGTATACAGTATATGATTATATAGTATATATGTTCAGTGTATACAAGTTTGTCCGTGCTGTCCCCTACCCTTTGTCCTGTGATAGATGGGATAGGTTTCAGACCTCCTGCAACCCTGAATTGGATAAACGAGAGAAGATAGATGGATAGTATCTCCATCAGCTAAATGGGTTTGTCATGTAATTCAATTGTAGAAGCACATTTTTTAAGGAGATAAAATGTCTGATGTTGTCAGGTGAATGCAGGAAAAATGGACTCTCCCAGAGAAAAGTGGATGTTGATTGCTGGAAACCTGGCACTCAAGCAGGTACATCATTTTCATTCAAAATGACAAGAAAATAAAAAACTGTGACAAAATATATGGATAAATTTCAATATATCTGCTTATCTGTGCAGTATGACATTATGTCTGCCAGGAATGATATTTTCTCACTATTCTTTTCATTTAACAAGCTACAAGCTACAGTGCTGGGCCTGCTGGCTTCCCTAATGGCATCTCTGTTGGGCTGGATGGCAGAAGGACAGATGCCCTTTAATCATATAATGCTCCTATGCTCAACCAGTGTTTCTACTGCATTTGTGGCTTCACTGCTGCAAGGTAAATAATAACTTGCCATTACTACACTGTCCTTGACCTCTCTGTGACAAAGTGGTTAGGCATGAACTCATTTACCACTTGTCCCTTAACGATATTGAGAATTTATTCTTTGTTATTTTACAGTCAACCATAATAGTAGTTACATCCATTACATTAATGCATATGTGTTTTAAAGCAAATGTTAACCATCAGGTCATTTGAATTTTCTTCTGTTCACAGGCAAATGTCTGATAAATTATGTTTCTTTATGTTGCTTTGGTTACACTTACCATGTTTGTTCATTTATTCAGGTCCTATATCTAAACCAGGTGTGTGGGAAGGGCCGCCCCAGTACTTCCTGTTTATATAGGGTCATGAGGTCATTGATTGCAAATGAAGGATTTTTCATTTGCAATCAATGTTTTCCAGTCTGGTTTTCGCCCCTCCCATAGCACTGAAACAGCACTTATAAAAATAACCAATGATCTTCTTATAGCAGCTGACTCCGAAGTCCGAAGTCTTTATATTAAGGGCCATCATCTTCTTTTGCACATGCGGGCCGCTTCACACTAGAGCGCGTTTGCTGTCACATTTTATTTATAGTGTGAACAAGCAGACGAAAAAATCGGATTTGATCAAAAAATCGGAATTGAGCTTTAAGACGTTCTTTCCCAGCCTCACATGCTGCTTCCTGTCCGTCAGGAAGTCAGTAATCCACCGGCAGATAGGATCAGGCACATTCATCTGGGAAAGCTTGCTTTGGAGATTGTCTGGAAGGATGGTGTTGAAGGCGGCGCTGAAGTCCACAAACAGGATCCTGGCGTAGGTTCCTGGGAAGTCCAGATGCTGCAGGATGAAGTGTAGTTGATAGCATCGTCTACAGACCTGCTGGCTCTGTATGCAAACTGCAGGGGGTCCAGGAGGGGGGCCGTGAGGGTCTTGAGGTATGAGAGAACCAGGCGCTCCAATGACTTCATGACCACAGATGTCAGAGCTACAGGTCTGTAATCATTTAGTCCAGTGATCCTTGGTTTCTTGGGGACAGGGATCATGCCTGCAGCGAGGAGTTGAAAATGCCAGAGAACACTGGGGCCAGCTCGTTTGCACAGTGTCTGAGGGTGGCAGGAGACACACCGTCTGAGCCAGGAGCTTTTCGAGCATTCAGACTCTTGAACTGTTTCATCACATCTGCTTCATGAATATGAAGGGTTGTAGTGGGAGAAGGTGGTGTAAAATCCTCCTTGGTGTGGGGTGTGGAGGGGGGTGTTGTAGGTGTAGTGTTTGATGGTGGTGATGGCTCTATAGAGATTGACAGACCACGTGATTTTCGCGCATTGAATGCCGGGTACTAGTGGGAAACAATCAAAGCAATGCATCAAACGCAAGCATTTGCAGCACCGCAAAACGTTCATTCTCCGGTTCCAATACCTTCTTGCTTTTTCTTTGCCCCCCAAAAAAGGTATGTACAAAATGAAGGAGAACAATG